CCTTTTATGGGAGAGTTTGAGACTTTCATTATTTTTCTTTTTGATTTCCAACTTAAATTTTCAAGCAATAAATGAGTTAAGGTGGTTTTGTAAGGATTTTTTTCTCTTTTTTATCCATTTTTGTCAGTGCCTTCTCCCTGACATCTCTGTGGCTTTCCCAATCTTTCTTCTATTAGTTACTCCTATTTCCATTGGTTCTTCTCATATCTAAATTTTAGGGTTCAGCGCCAACACTTCTTCGCAAGCCCCTCAACTAGAATCTCTCATAATTTCCAAATCTCATAACATTTTCCTCTTTAGCCTTTATTTTGGGAGCTAGACCTCAAATCACTAGATCTTCCCCTCCTTTAAATTGAAAGGGTTAATTGTCTACTCGTGTTTTATAATTGTCTGTATTTTCTTTTAAGATTTTCCTCTTTTGATGAAAAAGTTTACTTTTCAGATAAGGAGGAGATAGAAATCTCTAAGCCGTGGAATCTTGTTTTGGTTGGCAATATGATGGAAAAAGACCACTTTTATTATAACTTCTTTCAATTGCTTTAGTTGGGTACACGATAAATTTTTTAAAAAAAATTATAACTTCTTTCCAATTATGGTTTGTTTTGGAAATTGAAAGGTACATTCCACCTTCACTCTCTTGCAAATGATATTTTCATATTCAATTTATTAGCATGAAAGATTTATAAATGTTCAATATTAGAAGTCGTTAATTAATGTTAGCCCTTTTATCTTTCAACTATGGAGTCCATATTTACTTTGTGTTATTGAAGACTTTAAAGAGATTCCAATTTAGATTAAATTACCCAAACTTATCTTTTTGTTAATGATATTATATAAGATGTTTTTATTTTTTATTTTTTATTTTAAAATCTCTTATTCCATGACTAAAATATTATTTTCATAAATGAGTTATATCCAACGAGAATAGTTGATTCAAAAATAGCATGCCATCCGAAAAAAAATTGAAGCATTACATAATTTGCTTCGTAATGATATAATATTATATTTAACTTTTGTGCCAATAGTTTTATACTACATAGCTAAGCTAATTCACTAATTCATGGTACTCATGATGGTTGATAATAATTGCTCCTTACAATCTTCATCATGAAAAGTGCTTGGTAGCATCTTTTTTGTTTCTTATACTTATTATTTTTAGCACGAAGAGACACCAAAATTTTTTATATGAAAAAAACATAGAAAAGGAAAAAATCAAGAGGCCATGCTCAATCAAAGTAATTCACTATAGGATTGTAAGTACATAGACTCACTCTTCTTTTGAATCAGAGAAGATAGAAATATAAAGCTCATAACCATATATGTAAATAAATAGTTCACTTATAATAGTCATAATAGGGCTGCAATATTTGTAACTCTTGGTTATTATAACAATAATTGGCCACAAAGACTTAGGGGATGGTCGTAATAGTAGTAATTGGCAACAAAATTCATAGTTGGTGGTTGCAATAGTACCAGTTGGCCACAAAAGCCAAAGTTGAAAGTTGTAATAGTTGTACTTGATAAAAAATGCCATAATTGATGGTTGTAATAACAACAATTGACCACAGAGGTTGTGGTTGCATGATTTAATAGTAGTAATTAGCCAAAAAATTATAGTTGGTTGCTTAACACGCAATAGTAGTTGTCCACAAAAATTTGTGGCTGGAAGCTGGAATATTGTTAATTAGCCACGGAGTCCATAATTGGTGAATATAATAACATCAGTTGGCCATATAGGCCAAAGAGGGAAGATGTAATAATGACAATCGACCACAAAATTCCATGGTTGGTTGTTAAAAAGGTAGTAGTTAGCCATAAAGGGTGTAGTTAGTAGTTAGTAGTCCACAAAGGCCATAACTAAAAGCTTTATTAGTAATAGTTGTTCACATAGTCTGTAGGTTATGATTGTAATATTATAAGTTGGCAACAGAGGCTGTAGTTGGTCACTGTAGTAACAACATTTCGTCATATAAGGCATATTTGATGAATTCAGCCTTCTCATAAAGAGAACGGGGTTACAATTACAGTAGGAAAAACAGTTATGATCTATGGAAAACCAAAGGCTTTCAATGCATTGAAAATATCGTTAATTTGATGAAGTCTATACTTTAATTGAACAAATGGCTACGAATAATTTTCAATGGCTTTTTAAAAGGGTAAATCCTAAGAAAGTGACCAGTATTCATGATAATGATGCTATTTTGATGGTTGCTTCACAAGTTGCTGCATTATTTAGGAAAATAAACCAAATTGGGATGAATTTTTCTCAAACACCTCAATTAATTGATGAAAATTCATTATCACAAATGTTTGATTCTCAAACTTCATTAGAAACTATAAATTCTATTAATAAACCCAATAACCTATATTCCAATTATTATAACCCAGATTGAATAAACTATGCAAACTTTAACTAGAATAACAATTCTAGTGGTGGAAGTCAATAATGGGGGAACAATCATGTAAACCCTATTAGAAAATTGGAACAATCAGAGTAATTCTAATTTTAAACCTGCTTATTCTACTGGATTTAACAATATTCAACAAGTTAAGGAGAAGAAGTTATCTTTAGAAGAAGTGGTATTACAAATGGGTAATCAATTACATAGTTAGAGTTATGCTATAAGAAACATAGAGAATCAACTGGAAAAAATTGCTAACGCACTTAGCAAGAGACCTGAGAGAGTATTTTCTAGTAGTGTTGAGACCAATTCCAAAAATAAAAGTAAAGACCAAGAGCAAGTTAAAGCTGTCCAACTAAGAACTGGGAAGGAATTGAGTGTTGGTGTTCAACAAGAAATCAAAGTTTAGGGAAAAGATAAAGAAACTGAAAAACCTGAAGAACGTATTCCTAATGAAGTGGAAAAATATGTTTCTCCAACTAAGAAGAATAAAGAAAGAACACCACCTCCTTTCCCTCAAAGACTTAGATAAAAGAAACTTGATCAACAATTTTCAAGATTTTTTGAGTTATTTAAAAAGCTTACAATTAATATTCTTTTTGTAAAATCTCTGGAATAAATGTCAAGTTATTCAAAGTTTATGAAAGGAGTTTGATATAAAACGGAAGTTTGAAGATTATGAGATTTTTGCACTTGGTGAATAGTGTAGCGTCATAATTCAGAATAAGCTTCCTCAAAAACTCAAAGATCCTAGTGTAATTGGAGAAAAATTTTATGGAAAGGCTTTATGTGATTTGAGTGCAAGCATTAATCTCATGCCATTATCTATATTTAGAAGACTAGGTTTAGGAGATATTTCTCCCACTACTATAACCCTATTATTAGCTGATCAATCTATCACTTATCCTAAAGGGGTTATAGAAGATGTGTTGGTTAAAGTGGATAAATTTATCTTCCCTGTTAATTTCATTGTATTGGATATAGAAGAAGATAAAGAAATTACTATTATTTTAGGGAGACCATTCCTAGCTACTGGATGTGCAATGATAGATGTGTAAAAAAGAGAATTAACCATGAGTGTTCATAATCAGGAAGTAACTTTTAATATGCTAAAACTATGAAATATCCTGATAAAGGAAAAGATGGTAAATGTTACATAATGGATATAATTTACTATATGATTGTAAATCATTTTCAAGAAAGATGTGAAGTCATATTGGATCAGAAAGATGAAGTAACTTTGGTACAAAAAGAACTCAAAATTGAAAAGGATTTTGAAACTAACTCAAAAGAGAAAATCATTGAGGAGTTAAATTATGTTCATGAAGAATTTGAAATTTTGGATATTACTGAAAAAAAACCTCTGATACCTTCTATTGAAAAACCTCCTAAACGTGGGATGAAAGTTCTAACTACTCATTTAAAGTATGCATTTTGGGGTCAAAAATCAAGTTTAATTTTCAACAATTTTTAACTTAGTTGTCATTAAAGCTCAACTTTCACCCAAAAAAATGCCATCTAGAATGATATAAAAATTGTGGTTCGTGTTTGACTAATCTCAGTCAATAAAATAACTGAAATAATTGTTTTTAATCATAATGAAAAATACTAATTTATTAAATAACTATTTAATTTATTAACTCATAATAACATTTTACTAAAACGCTACCGCTCACAATCGCTATATCACTTCCGTCAAAAATAAAAAAGCATTATAAGTTAGCTAAATTTACCTCTACGCTCATTTTGGAAAATGTTATTTAGCTAAATGTTTGCCAATTAATAGCAGAAAATTATAAGATTTAATGTTGTATATTATTAATAAAAAAAAACACAACATTTACCACTTAATTTGATAAACCTCCCTCCCTTTCTTCGAAGGTTTCAGTTAGTTTTCTTAAAAGAAGCAGCTGTAAATAATATATTAGAGATATCACACTAACTCTAATAAACATAACATCAATCTCATTTCTAATCAAGAAATGTGACATTATGATGTTAACCCATCATTGCTTGCTTAATATTTGAGTGCCCTCATAGATAATTGAAATTTAATTCAGTTGACTGGGATATCTTGCCCATAATAACAAAGAGCAAAACATATTTTGAAACCATCATTTAAAGCAAGTATAACTTGACATTGAAGTTACTTTGAACTAACCATAAGTCGGGTTAAATGGTTCATATTGAAGCTAATTGAGCTAGTTTGAACCAAAAAACTT